AACCACTGAAGATTCGCGCGTCAACCCGTTACCCGACCCGCGATCCGCTTCCTTCATCAGCCTCTGACTGGTCTGATTGGACCGGAATCGAACCACCCAGATCAAGCCAAACCGTCGGACCGAACCGTCGAACTGAACCGCACATTGACCGGACCATTGACCGATCCGGTTCAGGTAAAAAAAATTTTTTTTTTGAATTTTTCTTATTTTTTATATATTATTTTATTAATATTTATGTATATTAAAATATTTATATTTGTTAGATTAAATGATGAAATTGTGGTTAAATTTTTTTATATAATTATGTTAATTTTTAAAATAAACTTTAAAAACAATAATATAAAAATAAATTTAATAATAATACTAAAGTAATAAAAAATATAGGGAAAGAAAATTTTTATTCAACGATGAGATTCAAAGATATTTCGAGTAGTGATGTCTATGAAATCTCTAGGTGAGAAGATTTTTTTTTAAATACTACCAGTGTATTGGAGTATTTATAAAAAAATTTTCAATACAGTAAAGATTTTCTTTTTTTTTTAGTAATAAATAAAAATTGATTAATAAATTAAAAATATAAGTAATAAAAATAGGAATGAAAGAAATTTAATCCAATGATGAGATTCTAAAAGTATTCTGAGTAGAGATGTTTTAAGAAATCTCTAAGTAAGAAGATTTTTTGTAAAATATTACCAGCGTATTGGAATATTTATAAAAAATATTCAATATAATTAAATTTCTTTTTCTTCAAAATTTTAATTTTAAATAAGAATATTAATAATAATAATTAATAAAAATTTCTTAACAAAGGAGAATAAAATGCAGTGCTATAAAATTGGTAACATTTTGCATTGCATGCATGACATTTTCTTACGAAAAAATAGAATTCGAGCCTCCAAAGATGAGATTTCTAAAAGTATTCACGAATAGATATTGCCTTTAAGAATCTTTAGCGTGCCGAAAGAATTCTTTTAATGTTACCAACGTACTGAAACATTTTAAGAATTAATTTTCATAAAAAAAAGTTTGTTAATTTATTTTTCTCAAGAATAAATTTTTTAATAAAGTTTAAAAAAATCAAGGAAATTAATCTTCAAATACCGAAAATAAGATTGTTTTTATCAAATGTGAAGGATAACATGTAGTTAACTGGTACCATTTTTTTAACGGGCACTGTGAAGGTACTAATCCTTCCCCACACGTAATCGACTCTCGAACCCAGACAGTTACGCAAACCCTAAAATTATCTTTTTAATAAATTTTAAGATTTCATTAAAAAGATATGTTTTAATAGGTGACCAATCGTACCTAACCAAAAAAGATTGATGACGACTTCGTTATTTTTTATTTCGTTTCTAAATTCGTCGGACAAATACAAAATCGTTACGACAGTTAATAACCAAAATATGTTGGATAAAGATATTGTATATAGTTCACTCCCTTATTGTTAAAAAGAAAAATAACTAAGACTAAAATTTAGTCATAAAAAATTACAATACTTTTTTTAAAGTACTTATAATTATTTTCTTAAGTAAATATTGATGTCCTCTGATACTTATGTTTATTTGAGTAAATTTTGGCATTTATCTTTTCAAATATTTTATAAAATTTTTTAATTGAATTGACATCTTTAAATATAACATTTGCTTTTAAATTTTAAATTTTTATTTTCCTTTTCATCTTCTTTAAATAAACTTATACAATATATACAAAAATAAACTGAAAAAAATAGGACGGAGCCAGAGCCGCTCACCAGTAATAAAGTTTAAAAAACAAAAAAAAAAAAAAAATAGAGGAAAGAAGGTTGACACGTAGATACTTTCTCCTCTCCCAAAATTTACAACTTTAAGTACATATATAGATGAGAAAGGATCATTCTTTTGCTGCTGCTTGAATTTTATTTTACAAATCACCTTGCAGAGAGACAGTGACAGATTACTCCAAGCGAGTAGTGACATTGGCGTTTAAATTGTTTAAAAACACTTGTCTGAGGCTCTTAGGCTCAACCCTACCGACCTTAATGATATGGATTGGGCTAAAGTACTACTCCTCGTTCACCATTATAATCCTAAATGACCTGAACCAGAATTAACAATGGGAACTAGCAATCACAAAGGTGGTCATATCATCACTATATTTCTACAAGATCAACTGGGCGGTCTACAAGTTCTTCATGAGAATCAGTGGAATGATGTTCCCTTCATACTTGGAGCTTTGGTAGTCAATATTCACTACAAGAAAAATGAAATATTTCAGCATTCATAATCATTGCTAAATCACTATTTATGATTGTTAAAATTGAATTGAAATCATTTTTTTTTTGTCGCGAAATTGTTTTTATTAACTCCATTGATAAAGATTTAATATAATAACTTATAATGTCATTGAAAAAGCACATATATCAATAATTTTTAGTTGTCATATAAATTATATTTTCACATCGATAAAATATTATTGTGTAAAATTTATTTTAATAACAATAAATTTTAATTAAAAAAAATTTATATAACACTATTAATATGGTTACAAAAAATTTTGTACAATAATATTATTTTGGTTGTCAAATTTCTTAAATAAGAAAAAAAAATTATAGTTACTAAAAAACATTTTGTAACAACAAAATAGCACTGTATAACAATCATAAATTTTGTTACAAAAACTTTTATATAACAATATTATTTTTGTTACATAAAATAATTTGTAACAATTAAATGCGATCATTTAACTTTATTTTAAAAATCATAAAATTTTTTCACAAAAACTTTTTATGTAATAATATTATTTTAGTTGTCTTATAATATTTTGCAAAGTAATATTACATAATTGCTAATTATCTTTAGCATCATGATATTTGTCATTTCGATAAATAATTTTAGCAACAACCACTATCATTGAAATATCATATACATATCAACTATTTTCGTTGGTAAAATTATTTTTCTTAATAAATTTTATTTAATTTTAATAGCAAAATTTATCGTTGAAAAATTTTGAACACAACCAATTTAATTAAGTGTAAGAACAACTATTATTGTTACATAAATATTGTTTAAATTTTTTTATAAAATATTAAACAAATAAATTAAACAACGACATTGAAGAATTATTGTTAAATAAAATAAATTTTTGGAATAATAATTTTTTATCGATACAAATATAATTAAAAGTTTCGTAATAACTTTTTTAGTCGTTGTACAAAATATTAAAAAAATTAATTAAGCAACGACATTAAAAAATTATAGCAAATAAAACTAGTTTTTATAAAAATAATTTTTTGTTATTATAAATATGATAAAAATTTTTGTAAAAATATTTTTTGTAATTGTATAAAATATTAAACAAATAAATTAAGCAACGATATTGAATAATCATTGCAAATAAAATAAATTTTCACAACAATAATATTTTATCATTACAAATATAATAAAAATTTTCGTATCAAATTTTTTTTCATTGTATAAAATTTTTAAAAAATAAATTAAGTAATAATATTGAAAAATTGTTACAAATAAAATAAATTTTTACAACAATAATATTTTATCGTTATAAATATAATAAAAATTTTCGTAACAATTTTTTTGTCATTATATAAAATTTTTAAAAAATAAATTAAGTAATGTTATTGAAAAATCAATACAAATATAAATTTTCGCAATAATAATTTTTTATTGTTACAAATATGATAAAAATTTTCATTACAATTTTTTGTCATTATATAAAATACAAAAATCATTACAAATAAAAATAAATTTTCATAAAAATAATTTTTTATTCTAACAAATTGATTAAAATTTTTTTAACAACTTTTTTTTGTCATTGTATAAAATATTAACAAATAAATTAAGCAATGACATTGAAATATCATTGCAAATAAAAGTAAGTTTTCGCAACAATAATTTTTTATCGTTACAAATATGAAAAAAATTTTCATAACAACTTTTTTATCGTTTATAAAATATTAAAAAATAACTTAAGTAATAATATTAAAAGCACATTGCAAATAAAAATAAGTTGTCACAATAACTATTTGTTGTCGCTACGAATAGAAAAGGAGTTGATAATGATAAAATTTATCATTATATAAACTATTAAAAAATTTAATTAAACAACAATTATAAAAAGTCATTATAAATATAACAATATTTCGCAACGATATTTTCAGTCGTTGCCAAAAACGATTTTTGTATATATATATATATATATATATATATATATATATATATATATATTTAGTGATTGGAGATCTCCAATAGGCAAGTCCATCCCTGGGAAATTTGAATATTGTATCTAATTATGTGCCTTGGCCAACTTTTGGCTAACTGGAAATTATATTTGATTTTAATACTTCAAATTGTTTGCTTTCGCTTAGCTCTTGATTATTCAACTGCCAAATTATCAGCTAAAAAGTGAAATGGCCTCCTAAGATGTTTAACTGTGTTGGCGAGGGGCATAAAGCTGAGTATGTTGCTAGCCAGTTCTGTTATTTGTTGATTTTTGTTTAGTTGCTATTTTATTGAATGGAGCAAATACAGATGGAATGGAATGTATCAGGAAATATAAACAGATTTATTTCTTGTTTCAATGCAGCTTATATCCAATGACAAGTTTAAAAGCGTTAATCACAGCATCTTGACAACTGTGCTTTATCAATGATAAGGTGATCATGCAATGCATATGTATTTTGTGGACTGGTACTCATGCTCAATCTAGTATCCAAGACATTTTGAAACTTGATTCTTGATTTTTTTTTTTTTTCTATTCTAGTTTCCATGGTTTTCCACAATATGCTAATTTTTTTCTATCCAAAAAGGAATGGTCTTGACTTTGCTGTATCATCCTGCTGCATTCTTTTTGGAAATTATAATACATATATAATTTTTATCAAAACTGATTTACAAATGTTAAAATTTAAATTTTAATCTGAACTTTGGAAGTTCAAGATTAAAATCAAAAGACAAGTTGAAAACATAAAGAAATAGACATGATTGACCTGGACGACAGACTGGTGATTGCTGCCTTCTAGTTCTACATGTAAGTCAATCTCGAAAATCTTCAATATTGTATTTGTTCTGCCTTAAGTTATTTAATTTTCAACTTTTGTAAGCTCATGATCAACTAAATATCATGTTATCATCTGAAGAGTGGCATATAAAACAAATGGAAACTCTGGAACATTCGCTACTCAAGCGCGCACACACATACACGCTAAGGGCACATTTCGAAGTTCGGGTTCTCGTCCCACCATGCTTCAAAATGCACCTAAGTTGACCTAGGCCTGTCACATCCTAACAGAATACCAGCTGCAAGATCCCATACTTTAAACAACGATAGAGAACTGGAAGGAAAGTACTGTTCCCAATTCTCAGCTGACTCATGGCAAGTGATTCAGGGCTTTATCTAGCATCAAAAAGAAACAATGTCCTATGATAGATAACTAGCACAGTGCTTTTCAACTAAAACTAATTAGTTGCTTTCTATTCTGCTTCTCAACCATTTAAGGTTCTCAAAAATGTTTCCTCAATTATAATATCAAGCACCATGAATCCATGATAAAAAAAAAAAAAAAAAATCCATGTAAGTAGGCAAAATAAAAGCAGCATATTTAAAAGCAAAATTTTCAAATTCTTTCTGAAAGTCAATTAAATAACCATGAACTTAACTTAGTACTTAACAGTACAAAACTGTCCAAGTATATGCCCTTTTTTTTCCCAATTCTTGAAGACACAAAGCCTTGAAACAACACCAAACAAGAAACTAGACCCTTGGTTTACCAGATGTTCCTCTTCAAACTGTTTTGGTTTTTGGAGCCTTTTTCTTGAGTTGTCTCCTGGGGATTGAGTTCTTCATGCCAATGAAGAAGAATAATGCCCCTAACAGTGCCAAGTTCTAAGAAGTAAAGGAAATCTAGTTAGAAATTTTCATCATCTACATCTAGAATTTGAAAAGAATCAACAACTGTACAATCAGAAGGAAGAAGTGGAAACAATAGTCAAACCTTACTCCTTATCGAAAAATAAATACCATCAACTACTAACCTGTGAGAACTTTGTGAAAAGTAGACCAAACTCTTTCTTTTCTGTGTCATAGTTGTAGAAGTCATACAATATAGGAGTAACAATGATCTGTTGCAGAACCTACAAGAGAAGAATAACATAACACTTTTATCAGTTGACTTAGTTGATAATTGAACTACTAACTCAAAATAACACATAAGACCATAAAACAAACCAGAAGATAAGCTCCGATAATGCTGCCAAAGATAAAAAAGATACCCCCAACACCCTTAAAGGCTACAGCAGCAGCAACTAGATACTTAATCTGTAAATAACAACTCCAAGAGTTACGACATTAGAAAAACCTGATATGAGCAGAAAATAAATAGTTTTATCTCAGTGGTGAAATATAGTAATTCTTACATCAAATTTTGGCACTTGCACCCCTGTATGATATGACATAGTCTTTGAGAAGACATTGAATTTTGGTTTCAGTGCCTTTGCTGCTGGGCCTCCATCAACACCAAATTCATTGAACCTATACACATGAAGACATAATGTAAGAGTAGCCACAAGCATGACAGAACTTAGCCTAGTTCAAAATTACAGAATCATATACTAAACCCAAGCTAGAAAACAGTACGGTTGTGACTGAAAAAGGAAGAAAAAACCCAAATCTACTGCTCTTTAATATATAGTCCCTCTGTTCCCAAAATTATTGTCCCATTTTTTTTATCAAACTATGTCAACTTTGACTATTATTTTTAATAAAATTTTAAATTTTAAAAATAAAATTTGTAAATTTTGAGTTTGAAAATTTTCAAAACTTATATTCTAAAATTTTAATTCAATATAATATTCTAAAAAATGAAGGTCAAAATTGAGTTGCTTTGACCAAAAAAGATCAATAAGAGAAAATTATTTTAGGATGAAGGGCATGTGTGTGTGTGTGTATAGTGTAAGTTTTGTAGGAAAAGATATATATGCCAACAAAAACTGTCCCTCAACACAATGATAATGTTAAAAGTTCAGCAAAAAATCAAATTATCGTTCTTTTGTGTAAACCTAATAAGAATTAAACAAATAAAGCAATACTAACAAATATCAAGTTCAACAAATAAATCATCACAAATCAAGCATATGAATACAAGCAATTTAATGTGAAAAACCTTTCCAAAATAAGGAGTAAAAACCATAAGGAACCAACAAAATCTCCACTATAAAAAATAACAAGAATACAAGTTCTATGTATCTAAAACTATAGGCATACAATCACAATACCTCTCAAGATTTAATAATCTTGGCAAATCAACAACTTTGCAAGAAAAATTCGCAAAATCTCACAAAATCTATAGGTAAGGAACTCTAAATCCAATCTCTATTGTTTAGTATGAAAACTATAAATCATGAACATATTGATAAAATTTCAACTCAATGGGACCACATATTGAACTTGATCCAATCTTTTGATCAAACCTTGTGATTGTATGTCTCTAATTTTAGCTAGAGAGAACTTGCATTCCCATTATTTTTTATAGAGGAGATTTTATCGGTTGCCCATGAGTTTTACTCCTCACATTATGGAGGTTTTCCACATTAAATTTCTTGTGTCTACGTGTTAGATTTGTGGTGATTTATTTGTTGGGGTTGCATCTTGGAAATAAAAAAATGTGTTGCACTTTTTAAAATAGATGAAAAGTATATTGCAACAACTGAAGCATATAAGGCGTTATTATGGATGAAACAGTTCATGCAAGATCTCAATTTCAAGCAACAATGCTATTGATATTTTGTGACAATCAAAACTCAATTCACCTTGATAAGAATTCTACTTTTCATGCAAAATCAAAGCAAATTGATGATAGGTACCATTGGTTAAGAATTGCTCTCAATGACAACTAATTTGTAAGGGTGTGAACGAACCAAAACTCTACTATGTTTGTAATCTTTTCATTTAATTAATGATTTAAAATTTTAACAATAACTATATATGGATTTAACAAAACCAAAAAATATATTTCATGTTTTCATGTCAATACACAATTTTCGTGCAAAACACAACACAAATATACGAATTTCAATATTTTACATGACACAAATACACAAATCGCTAAGTCTAGTCTTAATTATGTATTGTGGTTCAAAATAAAAAACAAACCTACTAACATGGCCACAACTAAGAATGTGTCAAGCAACAAAAATCCATACTCCCAACACAAATTTTGATTTGGTGAAAAGTGATCCGAACCTTGCTGTTTGAGCAAAGAATCATATACCAACCACTTGAACCAAATGCTCGAGTGCATTCTCCTAACGCTCTTTATTTCTTATTTCACAATATATTAATTGCCAGCTAACAACAACCATAATAAAATTTTATGGCATTCATGAGATCTATATAAGGTTAAATCTGATAAACATCATTTAGCATTTAATCACTAACATTTCTGCAATACAAAAAGAGAATTCAGTAAGCAGGTTACATATATTAAAAAAATTACCACAAGATTTAAGCATCTAAGCAATCCTAACACGCCACATCAGCAATGTAAATGTCAAATTTTACTGTTAATAACACCTTAAATATTGCAGTGATTCTTTTTAGTACTTGAAGCTAATACACGGTTCGCTAAAACTAAGATTCCATCACTCTAACAACAGGTCAAGCAGCTTTTGGCTAAATTGCAGTAATTCTTCCAACAAAGCTAGCAACTTTATTATAAATAAGATCTATTCACATAAAACGGATCATTTATCAATCCTTTTAAAAAATGGAAAGGGAAAGGCATTAAATCATCATTAATCAAAGTTTTAAGTCTACTTTTAAAAGTTCACAAGAGCTCTGAGTTCTAAATCAGAATTAAGATCCAAACTATCCCTCCTCTCCTTACTTTTTTTTTTTCTCGAGAACCAAATAGTCTCCATTAGAAAACCCAAAAAAATATTAAAAAGAAAAAGAAAAAAAGTGCAGATATGAAGTGCGACTTACTCTTGCCAAGCAGAGAGGATAAACACTGAAGCGAAAAGAACTCTTCCAACGAATGATACAAACGCCATTTTTTCCGATCAAAAACCTTAAAATTCTACGAAAATAAAATCTAAACAAAGCTGTTTTTGAAAAAGAACAAACTACTGTCTGAATACGAGACAAGACAGAGATAAAGGACAGCAAGTAAGAAACTATCAGTCGGGCAAAAACATACGCGCTAAAGTCTGAGTGCGTCTATAAACCTGGCGGAATGACAAAGGGAACACGTATGTTTCACCAATCAGATTAGTTGGTTTAAGACTTGGGCAGGGTGACGTGGGCGAGAGTAGAAAGCGAGTTGAGTTTTTTGGTTTGAGTATTTTCTGTTGGCTACGGAATTGACCTAGTAGTTTAATGTAATTTACGATCGCGGCCATCGTGATTTGTGTTTTAAAATATTCCATTTTACCGGTCCTTTGGTTCATTTTTTGAAATTTGAATGTGAAAGTGGAATGTGTTGGTGCGCTAAGAAAGATTCGTCTTGGGAAAGGAAATGGAAATTACCAAATTAAAAATAAAGTCTATTTCTCGTTTAATTAGGTGAGATTTGAGAATAATTAATGTTTTAATGTTTGATTTGTGGTTGTCACTCGGTGGAATAATCTTTCCCTTTTATAAAGACAAAAAATTTAATCCAATTTATCATAAGAAAACTAAAGTAATATTTTTTAAAGAATTTTAAAAATCTATCAATCACAACACACTTAAGTGACAATGAATTTAAGCCTTTATTCACAATCATCCCTTTCATTGCATTGTTATCACTTTTCGTCTTTAAAATTCATTGGACTGTTTGAGTAGGTGTAAAGTTTAAACTTTATTCGAAACTTTAACATAAAGTTCAAATTAAACTTGATAAAGTTTTTTTTTTAATTTATGCTTAATTTATAATAAAAATTAAATTATTTAAATTTATTCTATTAAGTTTGAATTTATTAAAATTATAAATTCAATCATTATATACTAGCTCGAGTTTAAGCTTAAATTTAAAAAAATAATTAAGCTTGTTTATGTAAATATAATGAGGATAAAATTGTAAATAAATTAAATAATATTTATATATAATACTAATAAACATTATAAATAAAAAAAAGTTTGAATAAATTTGGTATTCACTTGAATCAAAATTAAAATATTTGAATTTGACTTGTTCACTTACTTAAGTTACTTGCACTAATCAAATTTAAGATTGATAATACGTTGATAAAGTTGAGTTTAAATAACTTTTAAATTGAACTCGAATAATTTACAATTATTTAAATTTATTTATAATCTATTCACTTAGTGTGAATTGAAACTATTGTACAATTATTGAACAATCCATTATGCATTTATTGTTTCTTAAATCTTCAACATACCATATCTCTAGGAGTGTAAATAAGAGAGTTTTTAATAAATTATTTGTGAACATGTTCGATTTTTATTCGTTATATTTATTTATTAAACTTAACAAATGATTTTGAATAATATTTTTATCTTTATTTATTAAATAAATCGAATATGAATAAAGACCCACTTGGTTCATTTATATTTGCTAATAAACTCATTTAAAGTTCATTTAAAATTTATTCGTTTATTGTTCAATAATAATAATAATAATATTATATTTTTATCTTTTACCCCAATACTATTTTAAGGTTTATTTGTGTTCATTTATGATTTGTTTATTTAATTTTTTTTGTTATAATTTATTTATTATTTATGAACATATTTATTTAATACTACAAACCATAAAAATACGTTCACTTTTTTATGTTCAGTTCATTTACAACCTTATGCATCCCACCAATCATAGATATATAAGCACTTGTCAATGAATAATTTTTCATGTTGGCTATTAAGCACTTGTCAATGAATAATTTTTTCATGTTAGTTATCCAATTTGCATCATTGAAACCAAGGACGAAGCCAAAGGGCAAGCTGGGCCATGACTCCCAAACAAAATTTTATCCCTTTATTCTACAATGACAGGTCTCACCACATAAAGATTCACCACTATAAACAATACCTAGTCAATATTATTGAAATACCTTCAAAATATAATGAAAGAATGAATGATAATTGATTAAACATGATGTATCAATCAATATGAAAAACTAGTGATTAAGAAGTATTACAATAGTTTTGAAAAAGGCTTTGAACGCAAAAAAAAAATCAATTTAAGACATGAAAAACGATAATATAAGGGATCTGAATGTTCATGCATGAGGATTCGAATTTATGTAAAAAATAACTTTGTTTCAATTTTACACTGTATCATTCAGATGCCTGACCAATGACATTCGAGTGACATGCCTGAAAAGTCCTTTGATATGATTTTATACTAAGACATTTTGAATATCTTTGGCCGGGCATTCAAATGCCATGATTGAAAGTGTTATAGAACAAAAATTACAAAGGGGATTCAAATGCTCTTGTTCAAAATTTACAGCTTTTGGCTATGAGTTCTATTTTTTTATAAGATGTTCTTTCACTTATAAAAGGCTAAAAATGCCATTTATTTAAGTTTCAAAAGATATGAACTCAATGAAAAGATAAATCAGTTGAATAAAATTACAATTTTTGATCAAATTATCTATGAAATAGAGATATCAACAATTATTCAAAGAAATGAATGAAGAAAAACACTTAAAACTTTTTATATTTCTTCCCTTTTATTCTCAAATTAAGATCAAGTCATTTAGATTTTGTAGCAAACAATTGTGTATAAGAAAATATTTTCATCCTTCATTAAAGTATTTAGTGATTTAATTTCATTAATACAAAATATTATCAAACAAGCTTTCATTATATCTTAAAACTTTTCGATTCGGTTTTTTTACATATCATAATTGTTGGGAACAAAATAAACTTAAAGAAAACTTGACATTTGCAACTATTTCCTTCAACTTTCATTTCTTTATTTTATACCCACCACAACTCACCTAATTAACAACGCAACAAAATAGACCTTTTCTAAAGTATAACAATCTTAATTCTCTAAAAAAAAAATTCTTAATTTTCCAACTCCTTGAATACTAGAATAAAGAAAAAAAAAAGTAGCATTTCTAGACACTTTATCCTTTAATTAAGTTCAAACAGCTGCAAAAAAATTTAAAAATAATAAGATCCTTTTACTTTATAAAGTTTCCTTTTAAAAGATAGATATAACAAGTCCATTAATTAAGGTATTTCCAAAAATAATTGTAGCCGTAATTTAGTTGCCACTCCACATGCAATTGAATGGAGGGTTTTTGGAAACATTTAAAGAGGTGTTTGGCAAAAGGAACTGAAACTTTAAGAATCCCAGATCTCAACAAATAATAAAATTAAAAAATTAAAAGAAAGTAATGAGAAAAAATAATTACCAAAAATCATTTAGAAATCTAAGTCAAATTCATGTAAAGGCAATGAACCATGTTTAGGCAGTGTTTCCACCTTTTTCAATCCCAATATTCAAGTTAAGTGTGCTCATGGCATTATTGACTTTAATTATTGCTTTTTTCTTTTTATTCTGTATTTAATTTGCTTATTTTTTTCTAAATTAATATTTAATTAATTGAAAATAAAAAACTATCAAACTTGTTTATAGAGTATAAAGCTGATTGGGAAAATAACAACTCACATAAATCAAACATGACAGATGATCAAGATTGCTTGTTTCTCACTATAATTTATTTATTTATTTATTTATTTAATTGTTTCTCCCTATCAAGTTAGGTGAAAGTTGTCTATAAGAAATGGAGGAAGGCAATTAATGGGATGCTCATCTATAATCCAAATTGGCCAAACTAATCACTAAATAGAAGATTTTATTTTTATTTATTTCTTAGAATATGTTTTGTGAAATCTTGAGAAAGCATAAATTAAGGTTAAGCATGCATCACAATTGATTAGAAGAAATTTCAGACCAATAAAAAGATGATTGTGAGACGTTAAGAAGAGGGTTGAAGTATGGGAATAGAAGGAAGATCTTAGGTGTTCCAATTTGAATATAAATCTATTTGATATTTACGTAAATTAATTGAATTAAATTTTAAATTTATATTAATATATTTTTTTATTTAAAAAATGATAGTGATGTGATTGTGTACCAATTATTGTACCAAAAGTTCAGATAATATGAGATATTAATTAAATACGTATAACTTTTTTATTTATGCAAATTATCAAAAGTTATAAATTTGCTACTGAAAAGGGTATTATTTTAAGAAAATATTAAAAAAATCTATTAACACTTTTTTTGAAGAAATTAACACATTATTTTTAATTTCCCGAAACTGTTTTTCTCTTTTCATGAGTTTAGAATGGGCAAGTTGTGGTGGTATTTAAGACCATGTTTGTTTCAATGCAATTAATATAAGATATGAGCAATAATAAGGGAGCGTTGGTAAAGGTAGATGAATAGTAAATTAAAATCATCAAATACCTAACCAAGCAAAATTATCAGTCTTAAATCGAAATTATTTGAAGCAAGCCGTAAATATTTGCATGCAAATATTAAATAATTTTATTTATATTTGACTACAATTAATTGAAGGAATATTAAATAATTTTATTTATATTTGACTACAATTAATTGAAGGAAACTCCCCCGTGGATTCATACATAGAATCATAAAGGCTAAATGCTATTAATTCTTTGGTCCAATGTTCATTTTTGCATCAAACTCTTGTTTTGTTCCAAATTAAGATCTTGACTTTTTGAGATAACATTTAAAGATAATTTTTGACGTTAAAAATATCGATTTAGATGATATAGTATTTTATTTTCGATGATAATTTTTTACGTTAAAAATATAGATTTAAATGATATAGTATTTTATTTTCGAAGATTTTTCATAAAGATGGAACACTAATTGAGAAAAAAAAGTTATATCAATTAGACTAAATCTTATATGGTATAGAGTGTAATTTCTGTAGATATCCTAATTGGTTAGAGCTTAAGGTCATTGAGCCGGGTTCAACAGGATCCGGGGCTAAGCCCATTGAGCTTGGTTCAACGAGATCCAGACCATCAAGCCCAATTGTTCATTTATTTATTTATTTATTTTGAGTTTTATCTTTTAGGTTGATTTTCGAGTGATTTATCTTTTTTTTTCATTGAGTGATAATAGATAAAATAATCATGAAAAAAGGGGATAAAATGAATATTTTACCGTAAACGAATTATAGTTGGACTCAATCTGTATTTTGGGATAAGTTTT